CAAAAGAGATACGCGGCGCGTTCGTGTAATGCAGCGAGCACCTGTTTTTTGTTTTCACAAAATCGAAAAAACTTTAATGTCCCTCTAAAGAAAGACATAGTAGACAGTCGAATGCGTGAAACATTTTTGAACGATCTGATAGAAATAATTAGTCAAATAAAAAGAAAAAGAAGCTTAGCTAATTTTAATTTCGAATTAATTTAACAATATTTATTTGCATAATGTAAAAAGGAATTACAAAAAAACAAATACTTAGAAATTTTGAAGATATTTAGTATATTTTTAAACGGTCAATATTTTATAGATATTCAAAGCAGATAAGTCTGCTACCATCAGACTTTAACAGTCGTTAAAATCTAAATGATTGGTTTCAAAAATATGTAGAATAAAACTTTTTAACAAAATATAAAATACATTTTTCCCGCCACCAATTTTAGTATACAATAAATATCGTACTGTTGATACTTTTTTCAGCAAGTTCGATAAAACTGTGAGTCGGGAACATGTCTGGGAATTTGTACTCGAAGATAGGTTTAGCAATTTGATGTATATTTATTACATGGGACGTGTTGTAATTGAACAGCTGAGTGGAAAGGGATAATATTCCTTATCACCCAACTTACGGAAAATTCCTGCTATAATATATACATAAAATTTCAATGGAATATTATCCTTAAGCGATATTAACTATAACGATGATGTTAGGATAATAATAAATTCGAACGACGCATATTTTCAGTTAGAAATATTAGCTTACTTACGGTCGACTAAGTTTTAATATAATAAAGAAACGAATATTGTAAATAATGTGTATGAAATATAGCCGGTCCTAATGGAGACGCTGCAGCACGCTGTTGTCGCAATATTACCATAGCGACACAATTCAACCGACTCTAGAAGATGACATTTTGGAAAACAACTGATTTTAATGGGCCAGTGCGCCTTTTGTTTTTATATTATAGAGCGCTGCGAAAAATTGAAATGCTCCCCCCCCCCCCGTGTGTGTATATTGTACACGAAGAATGAATTCGGAGAAGATTTTTGAAAAAAAGCCACAATAAATTCCGGACGGATTTTAGTCGTGGGATTTATTCACGAAGAAAATAAAATTCCGAGATATATACACACATAATAATAATATATGAACAGTACAAGAGGAGTAGAGTATTAAAATGAAAAATGTGGTGTTCGTCGATGCGTGCAAAACAAATGCAAATGAATGACTTGCAAATTCGCCATCTTAAATCACTGAACACGTCATATGTTTATGCGAAACGTTTGTCTTTGGGCTTTTGCGAATAGTATACATTTATATAATATTTGTATTATATAGGTCAACATTTTCAAATTGAAATTCCTTTGGCTTTGCATAAGTTTTTTTTTTATATCATACAGCCCATATTGTAGTAATTTCGTAACGACTGGTTTGAAGAACAAAATAATAACAATAATATTATTGCACCTGAACGGGCGCGTTACACGTGTTTAAACTATCAATGTTAAACAATAATAATTAACAACTGTCGGATCTGAAGACTAATTAAACATAATAGGAGGTTTTTTTATTACCTCGCACCGGTTTTGTTGATATTTTTTATGTTACCTACTATATAATTATAGCAGATGCGCGTTGGCTAATATATACTGGGACCTATATTCGCACAAGAGAGTCAAAAGAACACTTGACCACATTTTCAACCTGACTGTATACCATAGATTATATACTGTGTTATCATAATATGATACACAGCCGGACACTAATATTATACGGTCATCTTAGTTTTATTGAAGTTTGTATACAGCCGGACTGGGTACCGAATATTATCATATATCACTCGCATAATGTGACTCATTGACGCTTAAGGTCAGATACATAGAGAGAGAGAGAGACACACCAAAATAAAGGTCTTACCCGAGAGGACCAATATACGACTTGGTGTATTTAAATTATTCAAAGTGTCTGTATCCTTATTAACCTAATCGTCCAGATACACACGAATTGTTATTAATCCGAATATTATATTTTGAAAGCGGGTCGTACGCGCAGTTTAATATTTGTATACACACACAATTTATTAATACCATTTTGTACCACAGTGGTCACTTGTCGGTCACGCGAAACCATTATACGGCATATAAATAATACTGTAACGGGTACTAATTGTTTTTTATCATGAACATAATATTTTTAACTTTATGATCTGATGTTGTGTTTGTTGTCCGGCATGATTGTATTAATTTCGCGTTGGTTGTACGATATTTTACATTATTTACACTACGGCTATACAACGGGTTTTGTAAAGGAACATAAATTCATTTTATAAAGTAATATTCGAGTTGCTTGTGAGAATTTCAGTTAGCCGAACAGATTATTAAATCGGTTTAACATCTAGATATCCGTGTAGACTTACATAACTTTGTATTTCATTTAAATTGATTTAGAGGTTTGTGCCTTAACTTGCTGTGCTTGGCGCCTTCAATCCAAAGTCACCGGTCTTAAGCCACATAAGCGACACTACCTAATTATAAATTTAAAAATAATTTTGAATTTTAATTGTATTATAATACAATTTTTTAACAAAACTCGATTAGGGGTATTGCACTTTGTGCGTCGCGATAAAAAAAATTATATGACTGTTATGCTATTTTAATAATCTGTCATCGACCGGATACAATAACAGTTCTTTGTTCGTGAATCACATTTTTTTTTTATCGCAAAATTTGAACATAATAATATATTTTCCACGGTTGTTATGCACGCGTGTGCGTTATCTTTGACAGTACGACGGTGGACGGTCATTGCGCCTTTTGCTAAAACTTACACCAAACCGGCTAGAAATTCAAGACTAGAATATTATTATGAAAACATTTTGTTATACTTTCTGATTTGGCTTAAGTTCGGTTGACACAGTGAACTTTATGTAAATGGAATTTCAATGATTTGCTTTTGATTAAAATAAAAAGTATGATTATGATGGATTATATATGGTTTTTATTTTGTTTCAGTACGGTTCCAATTTTTCAATTATTATCCTACATATTATCATTTTATCGTTTATATATTGCTATTATTTAACATTATGATCGTTAAAAATATAATATTATGTAAATATTATTATTCAAATGTTATAATTATTATTGTACAACGTTATAATCGTTGAATTTTGCTGCGTTGTAATTTGTTTAATAGTATTTTTTTTTCTGTACATTTCGTTTAATGTTCTTGACAGGTAAGAAAAAAAACTACTCGTTATTATGAACGCAAATACCGCGTTAATTTCAGTAACGTCAAACAGACGTCTCGGGAAAATTAAATCCAAGTATTTTAAGAGTTTAGACGTTTATCAAAAATAATACTGCTGTTTTAAAAAGTGAACCGTCGGTCGTTTGTTAAACTTTACAAAGAAATTTCAATTTAATTAATATCGAAGTTTAATTATAAATAATTTTATCATAATAATAAAACGACCGATTTGATTCAACAAAATTATACATGACCGTGACGCCTTAGATTATCTATTAGTCAACTAAAAAAATTAAAAGTAAACTGTTCGCAAACAACTAAACAAAAGGCGCAAAGTCTTTTTATTCTGCTGACATTTTTCTCGACACTACGGCGTTGTTATTCATTGTTGGTTGCTTTCATTCAGACTGTTGTGGCAAGTTAACGAACTGTTAAATTTTAATAACTGTAATAATTTTTACCCGTTCTACACGTGTTTTCGAGATCGACTTGTCTGTTACAGCACAAATTCCATATAATTGCTTTCTTTGGCTCATGAGAAAATGTAGAATGAAACACATTTAAACGGAAGTCGTCGATTGCGAAGTTGTGTTGGCATTCATACTGGTGCCTGTACACAGTATAACGGCTCGTTGGAAAACAAAAAAATAACATTAAAATATACAATAGGCGAAATGACTGCATTATTAACAACATATGTGATTCGGTAGTGTGTACCGCCAAACGAGAATGTTTGGGCGAGACAAAGTTGGTCTAGGCCTGACTTATTGTTCCAGATTAACCTTATAATACTTGAGATCCGCTGAGGTTTTAAGTGGTTTATAAGTGACTCTCCCACATATTCTCTCCGTTGGAAGCTTTAGCTTATTAACAACGAACGACCAACATTTTATTTATCTCACAGTTCACATGAAATCTAAAAGAAAAAATCAAATAAACGGATATGTATGTACCTACTTAAATAATTTTGTAAATAAATCAACTAAAAAAGTTCTTCTGGACAGTTTTGAGGGAAATAGAGAAATGAAAATTACTCCCCTGCGATAATTTACATATTATATCACCAGTTTTGTTTTATTTATTCCCAAAAAGCCAATACTTATATTATACTATTGTTGTATGTTTTTAAAAAATATTCGATTTTAGTCCCCTGCAATTTCGTTTTGTGAAATGAAACCGTTGCAAGTCGTTTTATAGTAATTTTCGAGTCGTTATATAAATGATGATCAGTTTATTTACCGTCGGCCTTATTCTATTGTGCCGGATTGCATATTTCTAAAACGCTTCTCTCGGCTTATTTGGCCATTTCTCAACAGCCATTTCGGGATTTAATGTTGCATTTTATTTTGACGTTGTTAATTTATGCGAAATGTAATGAGAATAAAATCCTAAGAAAAACTACCGACATTTAAAACAAAAACTCTAGTTAAATCTTTATTATAACGAGGGCTTGATGGTGATGTATGGCGACTTAACGCGTTTGAAACATGGCAAAACGCGTCCGTACCGTGTGGTAAAATAATAATACATACAAATAATTGCACTTGAAACACAGTACTATAATATTATGTATTTTAATGTAATATGTTAACTAACGAGCAAGAAAAGATATGAACTAATTATTCACCATTATATATACACAATGTATATGAGGAAGTAGGGACCTACTTAATACAATAGTGTTATTGCTTTAAATTATTATTAATTGATCTACCACAATAACTCAAGTATGTATGTTTTTTTCTTTTGTTCACAGAGTTGATGGTAATGAAAATCGTTTTTTGAAAGAGTTTGTGAGCTGTACCCCTCGTTCGGCTGGATGTAGACTGGCCAGGTGGTTACAACCGGAATCCGCGGTCGAACCCGACTCATGCGAGTTGACACTTTGCACGGCCGAAGTTCGGTGCGGGTGTCCTGCCAAGTTCATTGTCCGGACCCGTGACCAATACGGGAACCTGGTACACTCAACGGGATTAAAGGTATGTGACAAAAACATCAATTCGCCCAAACAAGCTTTATACACAGCCGCCCACGATTACACGCAGGGTCGTTAAATTTAGTCAAAAGTTTGTGCTGCATAAAAGTATTTATTTCTATTTCAAGTGGGTTTATTATTTTATTATTTATTATTCCGCGTTCCGTTTGTTAAAAGCTGTTGTTGACAGCGAAAGGTAAAAATACACATCTATTCAATTAATCGTGTAAAAAAAAATACAAAACTCGTTGCTTAAAAATAATAATAATAATATTAACGTTAGTCGTTTACGAGTTAAGTCGATAAACGATTATTTTTAAAGTTCTTTGGTTTTACCATCCAGTGTTTTTTATTGTTGTGAAAAAAAAAATGCTCGGATCAATAAAGCACACAAATAATGCCTTATATTGTGGTTTATGGTATGCCGTATAGCTCTGATGGTCTTGGATTAAAAACACAGCTAATATTTCCAGACTACTTTTTAATATTCGCTTGATAAATACAAAATAATACTCGTATACTATTGTATGAGAATTGGTTTTTGTGTATCACATTATTTTGAAGATACAGTCATGTATATTATGCAGGTGTCGATTGGTCTTAACCTAACGTTGCAAAAGACTCGAATCTTCGTCTTCAGGGCCCTGGTTCTAGTTTGCCGTACTCCTATAATGACGCCTCTGCCTGTAAACCAAATGAACATGAAGCTTCCCAAAACATTATAGAAGGCCAATCAACACCTGCGTTTTTACAAGGGGGTATCCTCAATAAGTATAAATAACTCATAAATAAATGGCGTAACACATACAACACCCACTCAAGTGTAGTTAGTGTAAACAGCAATATTAACAATTTGTTTTTTTACTCAAATGCCTAATCCGGGGAGAGAACAACTTTCACATAATTTTTACTAATATTAACGTATTTGGTTTTACTGTTGGCGTTGATAGTTTTGAATATTATCCATTTTGTATGTATACCTGATAAGGATAAGAAACAAAATTAGGGCGAGAGTATGGTGTCGATATTATTTGATATTAACATTGTTGTTATTTAGGTGGTTTTTATTGCTCAATCGACGTTGAAATCTAAGATAAATCTCTATGCGGACAAATATCCGATCGTTATGACCTCCGGATACTTTGGCGGCCATTCCGTGCCCAGGACTCACATCCCTTACGAGACGGTCGTCAAAGACAAATTCAGATATCAAGCGATCACTTTCATGAAGGTAAGTCCGCGGCGAACAAACGACCATCGTGTTGTGTTTATTTGTAAAACCGACACAAGCTGCGACGACGAGACGGATAAACACTGCTGAAATGAATCAGACGCCCATCGGTATTAATTAATTTCATCCGGACCGTAAATTAAATTCAATGGGTTTTTTTTTTTAATTGCAACAATAAATCCCTTGTTAATCGGATAAAGAATATCGGGAGCGGCAATCGTTTTTTATATATATATATATTCTTTTTTCTCTGCAATTTTCCGCTCTTACGCTCTTGAGACTTTGCGCGTCGCTTTGAGTTTTATCCGAATTGCCTATTCGCCATAATAGCGATCGCGTAACTTAAGTATCTTATTATTTTTTTTTTTTTTCAAATCTATTGTCGTCCAAACCGTTGACTATATGTATAGAATATATACTGCTGGTATATTATAGTATATTTTTCGTTCACAGCAATACGAAAACTATTCGTTCGAAGAGCTGCGCGTGGCGTCGCCGCCGTTGAAAGGCGATTCGGAATTGCTCGAGATGGAAGCACAGGGCAACGGTTCTTACTTGGTCTACTGGACTCCGACGGTCATCGGTTGCTACGACGTCAGAGTGGAAGTGGACGGGTTCTCGTTGACAAACCAAGTGAAACGAGTCGACGTGAAAGAAGCCCCTCTCAACGGCGTAGGGTCGGCTAGCCAAGAGCAAGACTCGGCCACGTCGACCCCAAGACTTTTGCAGCACGTGGGCAAGTACAGCGCCGGGCTGCGAATCCGAACGCATCCGTCGTTGCAATCCGAAAAAATTGGACTCATACCCGTCATGGGAATTATTGGTTACACGGACGAGGTTAGTCTTATCTCGGCATTTTGCTTAATCGGCTTTTTTATTCGCTTCATTTGTTAGTCATGTACTGCAGCTTGCGAACGCGCGTGTACAGTTCACGGCGAAAATAATAGATAGTTAATCCAATTTAAATTATAGTTAATATAGGGACCCGATAAATGTATAGTTCAAGCTAAATTAAAATAGTTAATAACCAGATAAATAGTTCGGCCAGCTAAATGTTTAGTCAAAGCAATTATTTATTTCGTTATTCTACTATACATTTGTTCTGTCCCTATATGAACCGTGATTTTAGTTGGTCAAACTATGTATTTTTTCCGTGCTGTGAGTTAATCTTACAGTCCGAATCTTACATCTTGAGTATGAACGTGTCACAATGGTGTAAGACTGTAACTGAAAAACAAATATGAAACACCAACTCGCAACTAAACACCTGACTGCTGCCGCGAATAGAGCGCCGATATTATATCAGTACAGATGACCTCTAACACAATACTATCTATTAAATGTATTGTTAAACTCATATGATTAATTGGTTCGTCAAATTCAGAGTGGAATAAATCCGTCCAACTGTTACTAAACAAATAATGACACACCAATTATTTTACGCTCTTTTTTATTGTGGTAAAAAATAAACGTCTCCGGGCAATCGGTATAATGATTGCTCGTCCATGTATATATAATATATACATGTCTTATATATAATATGCCTTATTATCGGGTGTTAATGTGGGTAGCAATAATTATTATCTACTACATTTGAATGCCACAGTTTGTTGGATAATTTTTTTTTTTCAAATGCCTAGAGAAATCACGGTTTCTACTGTACTTACCATATAAAGCCTATGATGATTTCTAGGTTTCCAACGACGACGGCGACTGGGTAATGTTGAATCCCGATTCTGTGGAGAGGTATTGCCGTCAAAAAGCGCCAAAACCTAATTGCGTCGAAGCTTGGGCGATGAGAGTCTGCAGATTAGTGGACGACGAAATGTTTTTGGTGAAGGTCAACCAGGAAAAACCCAACGGTGACGAGGCGGCGGCTAATGACAAACATGCGCAAAGTACAGCAATTGTCCGGGACTACCACCAAGACACGTAATTATTATGCTACACATAAGCACTGAACTAACTATTTGGTTAGGTTATCAAAAATCTGTAGTTGATTCCAAAATGTGACTGAAAATAAGTTTAACAATAGGTGAAACAGCGACTGCAAAATATGCATTTATAAATAGCGCGAGCCAATGTCGGCAAATGTGTTTCATCGTCAACGCCGAAAATTGACAGATTTGCTATTTGATCAACAGACTGTCAGCTTCTGTCAGCGTTGTACCCACAAAATTCACTATGAATAAAATTAGAATGTAACTTAAGTGGACTATTGTTTTTAATTATATTATTTTATGGACACTGACAAGTCTTAAGAACGGTTTTATTATTATTTTTTTTTTTACTTATCCTATTTGTTGATTTTGATTTTTCTTTGGAATTTGGCATAATATTAACAGACACTGAACGCTAGTTTGACAATAATAGTATAAAAGTATAATAATTTTTTTTTGCAAACAAGATGCAGTGTTTGTAATAAAGAAAGTGATTTCGTGGTCGAGTCTGAAAACGTTTTATTAACAGGAAGCAAAAATGATTTATTCATCTAGTGTAAAAACGATTTTTTTTGTTCCCATGAGTGATTGCGCTTAATATAATAATGCATACTAGTTAGGTAATACAATTTTACTATTTTACATTATCATCGGTGTAAGTGATTATCTATAGGGATATTATTTAATAAAATAGAGAGAGAAAGATATTAATCCGTAGAACGAATTGAAATTGCGCTACTGCGGTTACTAATAATAATATGGTTTCACGGCAAAATATAATACTTGTATAATTTTTAAATGTCGATAAAAAAAAATGACGAGGGCAAAAAAAGAAACGGGTACATTAAAATAATTGACAAGCCGTCGATCTGGTCATTTCTTATTATAATAATGATGCGGCAGATTATCCCTTGTCTCCTATCTCGAACCTGCCTCGCTTATTATGTTCGACGCCCAGCTAAAGTTAAGACAAACGTCTGGTTTTAGACGTACCGTTGAGATGTGCAAAAGCCAAAATCCTCCAGTGAGAATAAAACAGCGCTTGTATGTAAATATACTGCAACAATATAAAACAAAACTGCACGAGTCGACTGTCAAGAAACTACTTGATTTTCATTTTATTTAATTATTTATTTTACATAATATTCTGAACACTTTTTTTTTTGCACAAGACGTTATGTTACACTCTTTGCTTGTTTCGAATACCACTACTTCGTTTTTGAAACGTTCGAGAAATTAACTCGGTCTTGGCATATACCGTTTGTATTTTGTACAGTTTGGGAATGACACTAGTGTGTGTTTCAGAAACCTAGTTTCACAATACACAGGGGACACGTATGCCAGTGATAAGGCACCGCGTTAGAGGGCTGTTAACCATTTTTTAAAGAAGTTATCTTTTAGTAATGTTTCAATAAACTCGAGGGAGTCGTGATAGTTTATGACAAGTAAACGATCATTAGTGTACGTGACACCCGTTGCACCACGTGCGGATCGAGTATTCCTCGCTTGTCAACGATATCGTTTCCTCAAAAGATGCATTTCCATCTCGTAACTTAGCAATGACTTACTGATATAGCCAGTGTTTTATTATTGCAATAATACACAGTTCAATTTCATGTTAGAAAACAAAGTAGGCCGTCTTGAAAAAACACCGGTTTGCTATTACTTTGAAAATTATACTCTAAAACAAACTTGGACCTTATTTTTGAAACGATCTCTAGAACGTCTAATTATTTATTAAACCGCTACCAAAATTATATTTAGCTACTTGCAAATCTTCTGTTTCTCTTGTGTTTACTGTGGTAATTTAGATCTTTGGATGCGATTTTTAGAACTAGAGAAATTCTGCGGCCAGAATTGGATTTATTTGGGTTTTTGTTTCAAAATCATTTTGTATAGTGTAACTCACTTCCCTCAATGCAAATAATTTTTACTTACTAAATAAAAACGCATAAAATTCTTCTTATGGCTATCCTGATCCTCCCACGGGACAAAACTCCATAAGTATTAAGGTATAAGATAGTTATATATAATTATATCCATTATACGAAAACGACCACAAAAAACGTATAACAATTTCAACGATTGGAAAATGCTTTTGGAGAATTATTTTTCTCAAAACTAGTTTATAGTAACCGTTTTGAATATACAACTTTTTTATGCTTGGATTAGGGTACATAACATTTTTTTGTATTAACCTACATTTTTAAAATATAGCTCGTGGGTATGGAATGCGTTTTTGGTGGGTGTGAAAATGCAAATTGTATTGCGCTATTACTTTTTATATTCCTTAACCGAGGAATCATTTTGTACCGGTGGCTGACAAATTCATACTTAAGTGTCCTTTGTTGTTTATTAAGAGAGAACCGAGCGAATTAGTTTTATACCTGAATCTACTGTGGCTCGTAAAATGCACCATATTCTAATAGGCAATGTCCCGGAACGGTCGGCAATGAACGCTGGGCACGGCGGAAATTCTACATAAAATGATCGCATAAACGACGAGCATATCAGCGAATTTAGTTTACATTAATTTACATTAACGACAATAAAGGACCCAATGCCTCTGGCCCTAGCCAGTATTTACTGAGCTGACCGAATATCTTAGTGTATTAACAAGGATAACGGCCAGCATTAAATGTTAAATTACTGTTTGAGCTGAATATTGTACTTTATTTTTTGGAAGAAATATTCAAACGGCTTGTTTGACTTTCGTCGGTTAGTTGGTATCGCTTTGTTAATTTTTTTTTAAACAATTTTCCCAGGCCGACGGTGCTGAGTACGCCGAGGAAGTTCAAAGTGATCCGGTGTGGCGCGTCCGGACACAACATCAGAAACCAACCGACGTTCAGATCCCACGCGATTGGCATGTTGGTCCATGGCGATGTCATCTCAACCGTAGACAAATTGACCAACAACGAAGGCATGTGGGTCAAACTGTCGGACGAGTCCATCTACGACTTCTGCGGATCGACGCCCATTTCTGCTTGGTCGTTGGCCAATAACAACTCCAACGTCGTCTTCTTGAAACCCATATCCGAACAGAGTAAGTCGAAATTCGAAAGTTTACGAGTAGGTTCAATAAATAGGCGATTTAGTTGAAAGAACTCACGGAGGCCCCTCAGTTGGAAAAGAGTCTGATTCACACTTAAAATCTCTACTGAATTTATTTAAAAAAGTCACCCCATGGCTTGTCTATGTGGATTTCTGTTCAGTGTTGCTTTCAGAATAACATTTTCGAACGAAACGCGATTATTGTTCGATTCGTCTGTGTGGCAGACAGAAACTGAAAACCGCATCGACCGGTTAAAATATAATATATATAATGTATAGATACAGTTTACCCCATTGAGATTAGATTCATAAATTTATGACCGGCACAACTGCGAGTGGGTTGTATACGACCAAGAGGGTCGTGTACGGGACAGTTGCCAGGTAGTTCCTGGATTAAAGCCCAAATTATCAATTACTATACATTACTGTTAATAAGCCGTAGCGGTAATAATATTGTACCTATCCGGCGGCGGTGAAATATTGATTAATAAACTGCACTGAACAAACAAAATATGTGTTTTCGGACGACGTTTTAATTAAAAGCGATCAATTAGCTACGCGATTAATGAAGTAGTGCATAATGATTAATGATTCCGGACAAACAATATAATGTTTGCGCTATCGAGTTTTATATACGCGATTTACTTCAAGGTGTAATAATTACTATATATATATATATATACAAGAGTATAATACATAGAGAGTAGTATATAATTACATAGATTACTTAACGAATGGTAATAATTTATTGAAAACAATACATTACTTTAAGTATATAAGTTTGTACCACAATATTATAAGTGCTATCCGCCTTGAACGATGACAAAGAAAACTCTAATTTTGATGAAGATACTCTGCTTTTGTATCATTTAAATTTGTTCGCCAATTACTACTTAAAGTATAGAATGAAGGACATTGATCGTGTGATTAATTGCAAGCAGAGGAATGTAGAACGAAAAAGGATATTGTAAAACGATAAAAGTGGAGGTACATACTATGTAGAATGGTTATTATAAGTGGAGACGGCAAGCAAAGAGTAAGTAAAGGCCGATTAAACGTGTAAAAATTAGGAAAATAAGAATTGGCTTTTTGATAGACAGCACACTTTTATCAGCCACTTGCTAATAATATAAATTCTATCAAAAAAATAATAAAAAGTATAAAATGATTTTTATTTATTCAACATTTAATTTTATAATTTATATTCATTATTTTCTACTTTATAAATTAATTAAAACAGTACGAGTTTCAAAAATAACATTAATTTAAACATTTTAATTATAATTCATAAAAAAACGCTCTAAATACCTTTATATTATTATATCTTTAATATTTTTATACTTTATAGTTTTCAATATTATAATGACACTTTCAAAAATAACGACAAAATCGGTTTATATATTTAATTAATTTCAATCCGATTACTATACTACACTATGCTGTTTGCAAGTTGCAGAAACACTGCTCTAGCTGTCGGTAGACATTTAAAGCTCATCGTTACGCGGTATTCGTCTAATTTGATCGGTTCGGTACGATATAAATGGTAATTTCCCCTCATAAAACTCACTATTTTTATGGTAGTTATCATAATCCGATTATGCAGTGGCCTTTGGGTTTAATACCTATTGTTATTATTATTTCGATTATTCTAACGGGCCGTAATAATAATATTCTTTTTTAATGGCCGACTACCGCGTTGGCTATTTTATTTTATTACATGGAATCTTTTTAAAAGAATAAAAAATTCCCCGTCCATTTATCGACACTTTAAGTACCGTGCGACAAATATTATGTATATATATATATATAGGTATATATAGGTATATTACAATATTTATACGTTTTTTATGCAATAGGGTGTGAAATCGTAGCTATATCCATTTAAAGTTATTTTATTATCTTGGTCGACTAGGTTATGTTTAGCTAAGTTACTGGGCTTAACGCACGAAAATCGAATTTCGGCAACACAAATACGGCACGTCTTTAATTCAATTAAAACAAAAATCCATACTCCTTGTGGTTTAGTTGTGAGTGTATTCTTAAAAAAAAAATATATATATATATATAAATGCAAGTTTATCCAAGTTAACGTCAAAATAATTCGTTGCCGGTGAACATGTGGGAAAACTTCAATGAACAACTGACGCGCGTTTTGTAAATAAAAATCCGTCAAAAAAGAACACACTACTTACACATTTGTAGAGCTTTCAGTCGCGAATATTCCCTAAGGCGTCAAACTTTTCACAAAATCTCTATTGAACGTGCACTCTTTTTACTTTTCAGTATGTATTTAACTCGAGCTTAAAATGTAATTTTCCGATTGACGTAACGCGTCGCAACAGCTTGCCCGGTTTTAACCAGTTAACTTTCTTTTAGAAATTTTCCCAGCTTAATGATAGACCTTGTTTCTTATTTTCTTCAATGGAAAATTTTACAATAATAATTCGGCTTTTATTTTTACGTTTCATGAAATACCCAAGGTTAAATTAAAAAAGTTGATTCAATACCAAAAAAAAAAAAAATTCATCAACATATAAATAGTATCAATTTTGTTTGACACTTGTGCTTAGTATACAAGTAACTAGTCTAGTCAAATTTTTGCTAGAAAAAGAATTATGGAATTTCTGCAAAAATTATCTGTTGTTATTCTTTATGTTTTCTTTCCGAATTAACATTTAATGTAGTAGGACATAGTCTAAACCATTCTTTACGGGGTTTGCAGACTTGACGTATTCTAAGTAGGTACTTAGATGGATATCTTGTTGGTATATAAATCGTATCGGCTTATTTTTAAAAAATATCGTGCATTTTTTCTAATTTTATTCCTTCACATTTTGGTCGTATACAATTTTTTTTTTTTTGTAAATGTTAAAAAAATATTATCTCGGTGGAAAACTATGCCTTTTTCCTCTGTAGAATCATTTAAAAAAAAATCCTATTTACTATGGCAAAGTCATTACTTACTTTTATTATTATTTTTAATCCTTTGACGTCGTCAAAGTACATGGTTTTAATGAGATTTTGCTTTAGATGATAGCGTTATTGACATTTTGAGCTTCAATACGTACTCTACAAGGTATAAACTGAGTATGACGAAGAGTAGTTAGTTAGAGAAATTTTTCCGGAACCGTTTAATCGATTTCTCTGATCAGCACGGTAACCGTTTGATAATTGAACGTTTATACAAGAAAAATTGTGTTGATCAAAATGCAAAATTAACTTTGTCTAATATACCAAATGTCAAAACCTTTTTAATGCCTACAGGATCTGTAACCGTCTACTTTTAGTAAAATAAATAGTATAATATCTGTTTAGTTTGGTCCATTGCGTTATTATAAACGCAGTACCACCTCTAGTTTACCTGTTGGCTGACTTGATTTCGGGTTTTTGTCTTGATTTTTGTCACACTCAATAATGGGGGTTTATGTTGTTAGGCACCAGCAACAACGAAGAGAGCGCTGCATCGACAAGAGTAGACAACGATGTTAAGGTTTTTAACAAAAGCACATACGTGATCGAAAATAACATAGATACAGGTAACTGTTATAATGGTAATATTAAAAATAAGATTTTTTTGTCGTTTATTATTTTTACTACTTCTAATTTGCATAGGCTTCAACGAAAAACAGTATTCGCCGAAGCGTAAAAAAGATCCAAAAGCAAACGTCGAAGGGTAATTTTTTTAATTTATTACAACTTTAAACGTGCCCTTGATTATTTTCCCCGGTTGATCGTCTGTTGTGTACTGTCTGATCGCAGAATGAATGCCAACGCCGTACTCCAGATACCGTACCATAGGTCGAGGGCCGAGTGTAGGATGAGCAACGGTAATACGGTTATGATGCCGCCGGGAAGTCCTCGGAGATCGCCCAGGTACGGCAGTTCGGAAGAAAACAAACACTTGAGGACACCGACTAACCCGGACATCGTCAGTAAGTAGCTCACCCCTCTATACGGGTTAGGCTAGGTTAGCAGCACTTTGACGAAATTAGCGACAATCGCACGGTTTTTTTTTTGTTTATTTGTCATTTCATTAGACGCGAGAAGAGACGAAGAACAACCGTTGTCGACGTCCAGCGAGTCCACGGCTCCGGCGAGTACCAGTTGGTCTTCACTGGATACTCCATTTACGCCAAGTCTGTCGACTTCCATGGACAGTTCCGGCGAACCTAACCCTGAACATATGAATGTAAGTTGTTTTTTTTGGTTGACAATACAATATTGAGAATATACGTTACTTTATTAAAACGTTATGGATAATTTTATGTATTGGATTTAGTAGCGCTCCCGTAGCGCCGCAACACTTGTATGTTGTTTTAAATTTTATTAACGTTCGATTGGTGTGATTGAACAGAAATTCGAAGTGTTTCCCGGCGTCACGACAGCGACACAAACTACTCCGGACAACGAGTTTGGTTTTAAGGACAATAACAAAACAAATAACAGATCATCGTGCAGGGGTCGACAGATTGCAAAAAACAACGATCTGCCAACAACGGATTCGCTTGATCAATACGAGCAGTCCGACTTGACGGTGCGAGAATCCGCGTAAGTCGATCGAATATGTTCTACATTGAGATGCGAACAATTTCTCAACCAAATTTTAACATGTAATTTTAATACGGTTTTGTAGGCCCTTAAAGGACGCAATGAGTCCTTCGGTAGCGGAGAGCCTGAGAGCCGTGTTCGCCGCGTTCTTGTGGCACGAGGGCATCGTGCATGACGCCATGACTTGCGCATCGTTTCTCAAGTTCTACCCGACTCTTCCCAAAAACGGCGCCGTGGTCACTAAACGAACCACAGACAGGTATGTATACGGTCGCGGTTACACTTACGGGGAAACTCACTCGATATGATACTTACCGCACAGGAACAAGGACCGGAGTAGACAGAGACATTCGGTGGAAGTGACGACGGGCGCGGGCGGTTACGATCATATCCGGCCCAACGACGCTAACCGTTCCAAAACGGGCATGGCGTTTCCGGCAGAAGGCGCCATCACCGAAGAGAGTTTGACTAGTTCCGGTAACTCGGAAACCGCCGAAGCCCATGGCCATCATCCGATACCGTCCAGCAGCAGCAGCAGCGGCGGTGGTACCAGAGAGTCGACGGTGAACTTTTTACCGCCCGCTCTCAGCTGCATGGTTCGGCTCTGGGACGAAGTCTCTACTGCTATGCTTCAAGTATGTTAAGCAAAAAATAATTCGTCGAAAGTTGACAAATATGTACGTGGTATTATTGGCGTCTCGGTACACAAGGAATTGGTAAAATATTCGATCGAATAAATGAATCAATTCTAGCCGAGTGTGTAATGTCTTAGTTCGTTAAAAAATACATAAATTGCAATATTCTGCACTGGGTATATTTATGCAAAAATATACCATCGATACGTTTGGCATGATGCATATTTTGACAAAGTTACTTGGAAAAAGTCTCCGGTTGACTGAATTTCATTTGAATTTATTACATCTTCATTAACATTGATTGGTTATTTTCATTCACATTATTCAATGGTAAAATATTTTTTTTTAATTTTTTGTAACAAAGATTTTGCATTTTATATCCGCGTGAAAACATAACTTAATATTTGGTATATGTTTTTCTGCAGTTATCCGTTTTTTTTTCGTCGTAATACTTAATGAACAAACTTGACATGGTCGCAAATATCTTAATAAATCATTATATAGACCTAAACAATATACTCTGTCATAGGATTGTACATCTACACTCGACTATGGTTGGGAAATATTTTGAAGCCCTCGTTTACTTTTATCTCTTTGAAGCCAAACGGAGTATGAATTTGTGTTGATATTACATGTCTTTAAAGTTATTTTATAACAAATATATCCAAGTATCTTTTGTATGACATTTCAAGACAATAACAAAAAAAAAGTATCACATATACTTAATAACCTATGTGTACATTTGTTAAATGTGTTTACTTCAAGTAATAGTTTACTGTCCCTGACCAGCGTTTTGTCTCGTTTAGATGATAACGTCAAATGTAGTTTTAATCCCTAACGACGAGGATAAAGGTGGTGACAATTCAATGCTCGCTGAACGGAACCATAACAAGCGAATAGCCCGGCACGTAACGCTTAACAAAGAACCGATACCCTGCGAACTCTGTGCTGGCAAAACTTTCCCCCACCCCATTGCCCATCACTTGAGCAACGCTCATCCGGGATGTGGCGGCAACAGCGGCGGACGCGGTTACACCAGTGCAGGTGCCTACTGCACCGGATGGGCTGGGGCGTGTGGATATGGTGGTATCGATGGGACTTCGTGGTACTTGTTGTGTGAGACTTGCAGAGAGAATTTCTTGAAAAAGGCCAAATTACCACCCGGCAGACAGCGAAAGACCGGCATCCGCAATTACGAATCGAACCGCAAGTTAAAATCAAACTTCGGTAAGTCATGTCCCGCTGTCCCGTCAAAGTTAAATTTCAACCAGTAATAAAACCGCGTGCCTAAAATAATGTTTAGGAACGAACTGGAGCGTAGACGGGCTTCACATAGTGTTCAAAGAAAACGCCATGTTCCTTTTGGACTTGGTCAGCTCTAGTAGCAGACAATCGGTCAACGACGAAGCCACTACGGACTCTGGCAATTGGGACGTTGGCGATTTCAACAGTCTAATTTCTTTCGGAAATTTCTCCAAGAAGACAGACTGCGACGAGGCAATTCTACTTCAGCTCCAAGATCGTTCTTCCGCGGTACCTATTACTATGCTTATTATTATTTTTTTTTAGCTGCGATCCGAAGCCGAGAAGGCATTGGTTTTTAATAAGATTTGTTTTAATTGATAAAAAAATTCGTTTGCCCAGGTCGGTCCTACGGGTGACGACGCGGTCGACGGAACGACCAGCCGTAGCGTTCATCGGTCCGCATCGATGGACATTGAAGTTTCGCCTATTAACCGACGCAAACGAATCAACAGCACTTGCGATTTGGGTAATAGTTCCGAAGTCACGTTGTCTTGTGATTATTTTACTAATTGCTTGTAATTGGTGGTTTTGCTTGCAGACAACGGGTTGTCGCTCATGTGCGTACCTTCGGCGGCTTTGCAAGCTCTAGTTGCCGAAGTAGACGCGGCCAGTGCCAAAGAAACCGCGGTAACGGATGTATTCAAAAGACCCGTGATCGAATTCGTCGTCGAACAACACAGTTTAACAGACTTGAAGTGGTCGATGAAACAAGCCGTGAGGAAAGCGGCTTGTCGAAGTTACGCGCTACAGGTAACACATTCCGTCCTAATCTGATTGGCTCTACCAAAGCACATGTTCTAACAGTTTGAATTCGACAAATACATTTAGGCGCTCAACTGGCTACTACACGAGGTATCGCAAGCTTCGTGTTTGCACGATTTACTATGGTGGTTCGTAATAGCTCTGTCGGCCGAAGTGCGGACCATCGACGGCACCAACGAATCGCCAGAGCCCAGATGTAGACATCCGTTGAGCGATTTGTACTTGGCCGGGGAAGCCGTCCATCCTCTGCCGAAGGTGTTCTACACGTTCCTACAGACCGTGTCCGATCTGATGCTCTACTTGCCTTCGGGTTCGGCCCTCCAAATGATGGCCATCCGTTGCTGGGACATTCATTTCACTACAGCCGATCACATGTTCTTGCACAGGTGGGTTTTCGACGGAAACGCCTCGGCTCTCGGTATTTACCACCTTTGTTTGTCCCGCAGGAGTAAGGTGTTCAGTAACATAAGTAAAATACTATCGCACAGCGAAGAGTATCAAGACGTGTGCGAAGACCTAGTGTCTGGCGCTCATGAGGTATCGTTGCCGGATTATGACGCTAAAACGTTCTAGAATTTAAATTAAATCTGCGTTATATTTCACTTTTTTTTCCAGAACGAAAAAGGTATTGTAACTTGCCTTAAAGACATCACCGAAAATACGGAAATCACGGCGTCCAGTCGTTCGGCGATGATCGCCAATCTGATCGACCAGTCTACGGAAACGTTTTGGGAGTCGAGCGATGACGACAAAAGCAAATACAAAACGATTACAATACACTGCGCCGATCCGCTGGAAATACCCAAGGCCATTTACGTTTACATCGACAACAGTCGCGACCTGAGTGTTAGTACCCTTTGTCTTATTCCCAATGTCGATTGCAAACGGCGGTTTTTAGGCAAAAATCATCGGTTTTTATTGGATCACACGATTAGCAATAAGAACTAGATAGTTTGTCCATTTACCGTTAGCCGTTCTCATAATAATCTACATTATAATCGTAACGATATTGACTTGTTTGCGCAGAACAAAGTGTCTTTGGTGATTTTTACCTGCGGTCCGTCTATCGATAAATTAAAAAAAATCAAATCCTCTGAAGTTGAGAATCGTTTTTGCGGCTGGATAGGAGCTTTCATTCAAGGTATGTTTTATACGATAAATTATAAACGGTTCGCTTGAAAGTTTTGTGACTACAACGTACTGCGTGTGTGTTTATTTTCAAGACGATTCGCAAAAAGTGATATGCATTGAAATGCGAGGACTGGACACGTGCGTTAGGTTGAGGCAAGTAAAAGTGCTTGGATCGGTGACCGGAGAGTCGCAAGTCCACGGACGCCAGTACAGTTACTCGACCGTTCAACACCGTCTGTGCGAAAATGAAACTTTAAAAGTGTTCCGATCCATCACTTTCCAAGTAACGTGACGAGAAATATGATATTGTCGGTCGTTAAAGTAAACGTATTGCACTGTTTGCCGTTGTAGGTATTCGGCAAGTTGATTCAAGGTAAATCGCAGTCGATGGACTCGAGCGTGGACGAGAGCAAAGATCTCAAGGAACACATGGTCGGCATTCTGTTCAGCCAGAACAGATTGACTCATTTACAGAAACAAGTATTTTCCATTATTAACATGTTTAATTTCTAACGGTTTTATTCCCTTGTGCGCTACCTACACGCTTTGTTTTTCCCCCGTCAGGTGTGCACACACATAGTGGAAGCGATCAAAAAAGAAGCGACCACCGTGCGCGAAGAATGGGAAAAGACCGCGGGCAAGAAGGACTCGGTTACCGCAAACGGCACTGCGACGCCCACCGATGCTTATTGCTTCGAGATGCTTTCCATGGTGTTGGCGCTCAGCGGCAGCAACGTCGGCAGGTCGTACTTGGCAAACCAACACGACTTGCTGTCCAACCTGCTGAGCCTGTTGCACACCGGAAGCGCTAGGGTCCAAAGACAGGTCGGTGGTTCAGGCTCTTCGAAGATCATTGTATTTCTCGTTAACTACACGTCTTAATTGTCGTTGTTACAGGTGACTTTGCTGTTGAAACGAGTGCTGCCGGAAGTGTCGCCCGGCGTGATGGCTTCGTTGACCGACGCCCGGTTGCCGTGCACCGAACTGTCCATGGCCAGCCATCCTCCGTACCGGTGTCGCCAGGTCGGGCTTCTCGATCACTTCTTGGCCGTCATAGCAAAGGCTCTGACGCTACAGGTCAAAGTCAAAGGGGTCGGCGGCAGCAAGGTGGTCAACTCGGTGAAGCTGCACGACGTCGACCTGGACGTGGACGACTCCCGGTGGTATCTCAGGGGAGCGGCTTCCCGGCAATTGGCCGACGACATCATACAGATACTGTTGGACATGGCCAATGTATGTAACCGACTGTCGTTACACACGAATGCGATTGTTGAACTTCTGTTTCGGTTTTCGTTTCAGGGAAAATTCTGCGATGACGAAAATTGGAAATCCGTGTCGAGGGCGGCCATCGCGGAAAACATACTGCGGCTGACCAGGCTCGGCAAGGAACAGAGGACCATGGAGGCTTGCGTGAAAACCCCGATTTTATGGTTGGCTTTGGCCTCGCACTGTGTACTGCATCCGGAGCACGCGGAGAGGTTATCGTCGGGACATTGGACCAAGCCCGAAAACTCCGTGCCGGCGCCGCCCAGGGTAAACGACCGTATTAGATTTTACAATCATCATTGATAATAATAATAACTGTTAATCCGAAACGTATAGCCTTTGTGCATGAACCACGACGACGGCGAGACCGGCGCTGTAATACAGTGTCTGATATGTGGCAACTTGTGTGTGGACTGCGATCGAATTTTGCACTTGAACAGGAAAACCAAACAACATCAGAGACAAGTAACAGTGGAAAGCGTCGTGGGGCAAACGGCTCGAATAAAATAAATAAAATACTTGCTTTTGCGCTCGATTACAGGTTTGCAAAGAAGAAGAAGAAGCCATCAGGGTGGATTTGCACGAAGGGTGTGGTCGTACGAAATTGTTCTGGTTACTGGCGCTGGCCGACAAAGCCACGTTGCAAGCGCTGGTCGAATTCCGCGATGCTTCGACCAATTGCACCGAGCTGTCTGTACCGGTTGCCCGGGTCAGTGTACAGTCGACCAGAGTGGGAATTTGTAGGTTCTGCGGAATGATGAGCAACGACGGACTGCTGGCCATAGGCAACGTGTGCGCAAACGACGAATGTCAGGTAAGTGCCCGGATTGTCAATGAATGTATAAGACAATTAACCTTGGCCGAGACCAACAGCTGTGCGTACCAAGTATAAAAAATAAATCAAACGCCATAGTCTTAGAAGTAATGGTAACAAATACAATTTGATCAACGCTAGTGTATAGAGATATTTCCGAATGATAAATTGACAATTTTTTAGTTAATTAAATCCGTTTCGAAGACCAACTAACAATATACACGGCGTTTTTCAGTTGCACGCTCATAACGCGTGTCAAAAAGTGCTTAAGTGCGGACACTTGTGTGGCGGTATCAAAGACGAAATGGAATGTTTGCCGTGCTTGAACGGTTGTGTCAACGAAGAGAACGCAAGACTCAAGCAAGACGCCGACGACATGTGCATGATTTGCTTCACCGACGCTTTGTCGGCGGCTCCTTCTATTCAGGTAATATCGGTGCAAATAGTCGTTTGTTTAAATATGTACAAATTTCTTTTGAAATATTTTTGTATGAAAAAGTCATACTATTATCATCGTCGACAAACACTATATGTATGTATAAGCTTATCTTATGTTGTATTTCACGGTTTGTGGTTGGTCAAATTCAGCTGGTTTGCGGCCACGTGTTCCACTATCAATGTTGCAAAAGGGTTTTGATCAACAAATGGTCGGGCCCGCGCATCGCGTTCGGGTTCCAACAGTGTCCCATATGCAAAGTAAGTGCTGCGATTAACAATCGCAATTCTCAACGACATTAACTAACCGTTTCTGACGTCGTTTTCGGCTTCAGCATCCCATCGATCACTCGTGTTTGGCCGATCTGCTGGATCCGATCCGCGGGCTAATGGCCGACGTCAAGAGAAAAGCCCTGATGCGATTGGAGTACGAAGGCGATTGTTCCATACAGAGCGACCAGGCCGCCACGTTCGCCATGGAAAAGTACGCCTACTACGTTTGCCACAAGTGCAAAAAGGTACAAGCGTTTGATCGCATCATTAGAGTCATGTGTAATTCTTTGTGTGATTTGATCTTCTTGACGACTTTTTTTTTTTTTGAACTCTCAGGCTTATTACGGCGGCGAAGCGCGCTGCGAGCTCGACATCGGCATCGGGGTGGACTACGACCCGGCCGAGCTGGTTTGCGGCGGATGCAGCGACGTGGCGTGCGCTCAAATGTGCCCCAAACACGGTACCGACCTGCTGGAGTACAAATGCCGGTACTGTTGTTCGGTGGCGGTTTTCTTTTGTTTCGGCACCACTCACTTTTGCAACGCTTGTCACGACGACTTCCAGCGAGTCACCAACCTGCAGCCCGACGAACTACCACCGTGTCCCGCCGGTAAGCGAGAAACCATTTTTTTAAAGGCAATTTTGTCAAATGCGCTGACAAATTTTCACTTGCACAGGACCAAGGGGAACGTCGTTGAACGTGGAAGAATGCCCGTTGCACGTGAAACACCCTCCGACCGGCGAGGAGTTTGCCCTGGGATGTGGAGTTTGCCGGAACGCTCATACGTTTTAAAAAGCGTCGTCTTGCTGTATTTATACAAAAATTTACTTATTCGAATGCCGAACACCAACATTTTACCCTCGTATAGCCATTGTGTACGAACAAAGTTTGTAACTAAAAAAACATAACAACATGTACATAAGTCGCTGATCTGACAGAGTTGGCCGAGATTTTGGATATTTTGTCAGATCAGTCGTAACTATTTCACAGCCAAGTCTCGACAACTCGGTACTTAAAAACCGTCAATGCGCAGTGCCGTCTTTACCCTAAGAAGGGCACAAGCCCACGACCCTCGGCCCGATGGAGACCCCGAATAATACAATTTACATTTTTACCTGCATAGCCCAAAACGTGTTCATTTTTTGAGTTGTCGAGATTTTGCTGTGTACGTTTATTTTTTAATGAAAAATACTTTGTTTTTAGCTAAATTTTTAACGTGCGTTTGTGTGTGTGTCGTTTACGGATAAGTTACCCTTGTCCGTCTTTTAACGTTTAAACGCTATTTCCAATTTTTTATTATTATATTTTTTTTTTATTATACACTATTATATATTATTATGTAATATTTACCGTAGGTATCTCGTCGTCTAGTCGTCGTTTGTTATGTTTTTTTTATTTAACGTGCTTGATACTACTATTACCAGTAGTTATGTTAAAAATATCATTGTGATGATTGTTATATGAGCGAATTTTGCTTAGGGTATTTACGATGACAAAATTGTGAATCTCCGTGGAATCATAATATACGTTTACCTTTTAATATTTGATCTGTAAAAACGTAGGCGCAAACGATCGACGGCTCGAGGGGAATAATTAATTATAACATGTCCAATAACTAAATGCCAAGTCCTTATAAAACATTATTTTTAAAAAGTAGCTAAATTATTTGAAAGACTTGCAAAAAATTGTTCGTGGAATACATAAAATGATTTCCCTAACCGCCGTTTGCGCCTATGAGTGTAATTTTATAGTCGTTAATACTTCGGTCGTATATTGTTCCCATTTGTTTTTCATTAAGCAATATTCTAAACTATCATTAACCGTATAAGAATATTATCATATTTGAACTATACCTGAAAACAACAATATTAAAATAATTATTATATAAGTAATAATAATAATTAGCTTTCGGTTTGTATACGCGGCAACAGTAAATTTAACATTTGCATAGATTTTAGCTTATAATAATATTGCTAGTAATGTTTTAATAATATGTACTCAACTTCAAAGCTAAATCACTGAAAACGGCCATTAGTCCCATACTATTTTGAACTTATTATAAACTGTACGGTACTTAAAATACATTAAGCTTAACTTTATGCCAAGTGTACTTGGATTTTAATATTTTAACTATCTTTTTTTCCATCATCGCGTAGTGTGTTTTGTTGACAAATAACCAACATATAAAAAAAAACGACTTAATTAATGTTTAATAATTAAACTTTCTACTATTTATTTTGTACAAAACTTACAAAAATTAACTAATACTTTACGAATATTCTATAACGATCAACCGCGTAGACAGTTCCCAAAAAGCACTATTAATTAGATTAATATTATAATTGTATCAATTTTTTGTTTGGCTTTTTCATTGTACTAGTTCTAATGTCGAGTTAATCTAGGCAACAAATAATAACTCAACTTTGTATTACCCTGTAATAATGTGCAATAATTTTGTTTGACTATTAGAAGAATAAATCTATAATTGCTATTTAGCATTTCGATGTCTTTATGTTGTCCTATGTGAACGTTTATTTGACAAAAACAGTTAATGCATGTATGCTAGTCTTAAAAAACTCGTACCATAATAGAAAAGTAATCTCATCCGATGAAACATTGCAAATCGTCTACACGATAATTGTATCAAACGGACATGAACGCAATTTATGTATGTTAAGTTATCTACACTCGGCGCCTTAAACTAGCTAACACACGAATAGTTGTTGTAAGTTGCAGTATGGTATAACACACATCTCTATGAAAGTTATTGTTAATATTATTCTCTATATGAAATATTTAAGTACTTAATGACACTAAAAAAGGCGATTAGAATAAGGAAAAATACAAAAAAAAAAAACCAAGTACAAAAAGCGAATTTTATTTTGCAGGTATTCGTAATTACCGTACGTCATAATTATGAAACTAGCGTCGCAAATATTAAAAAAAAAAAAAACAATAATAATATATAATTATAATAATAGTGTTCTGAGAGTTTCTTTTTTTTTTAAGTAAAACTATTTTTAAAATTCAATAACAATAATTCTTAAAAAAAAAAAACATAGACAACATATACAATAGATATTTTAGTTTAGAATCTAAGCTTTGGCAAATTAACATTGTATACATACACGGATAACACGTTAACAAATATACGTATATTAGAGTTAAAAAAAAAAAAACATACATTCAAAATATTAAAAAAAAAAAAAATAAACGCGTTAAGTAAAATAATCGCTGTGACGTCACTGTTTCCAAAAGGCTACGGCTTTTTTGAAATTGTCCATGGTCTGCAGTCGGACGGCGTCCTTGCGGGCTTCTCTGGGCTTGTCCTGCGCCGTCCTGGTCAGCCCTTTGAACTTCAGCCCGTTCTCCTTGGCCTGGACACCGTCCCCACCTGCGGACACCGTCACACGGTCAGCGCGGTCGGGCGTTTCCTCGGTGATCGCGCGGATCTCGTCGGGGGCGTACTTGGCGTGCGGCGGCGGCGGCACGTTCAGCGACGAGCAATCGCTTATGCCGCTGTCGCTACGCGCGTCACACGGCTTGGCGGCCACGCGGGCGGCCGGCGATTCCACGGGGTAACAAGGGGCAACAACGCGGGCCACCAACGCGTTGCTGTGCTGACCGCCGGTTTCGCCGCCCGAATCTTCTTCGCTCAGACTGGTCATTTTATAGTGCTGGTAAACGCCGCCGGTGCCGCCGCCTCCGCCTCGTCTGCTGGCCGCCGACAGAGTGGCCATCCTGCCCAGGGCTCGGATAGCGTTGCCAGTCTTCTGTTAATGCCACACGGAAAAACACACACACACACACACACGCAAACAAAATATTATGTTAGTGACAAGACTAAAATCGAACACAATCTACATGGGCTGTCGACAATGATATTATTATTATAATCATGCATGGACACAACTAAAGAACGCTAAAGGATGATCCTATTCGATCTAGAAAATTCAATTGCAAAGTTTGTTTTTGATTCAAAAGCATTGATAGAATATAAATTTTCGCACCTCATAATAAAAAAAAAATCTAAGTGTTTTGAATTTAGTTTTGTTGGTGTTTACTGGTCTCTAGCTAGCATTTCATAGTTGTGCCTGTAGCCGTTGTTACACAATAGCAAGAGAACGTTATACCGATTTTTACAAATAAATACAGAAACATACTAATTTTACTCAGATATGCCTTTTATAGTATTTACTATTGTATAAACATTTTTTTTCAATAGGAGATATAAGCGTACAGCGTTCTCTTAAAAAAAATTGTATAAAGAAAAGTTAATAATTTAAAAACAAAGCTTAATGTAAAAGAAAACTAAAAGTATTCTATAACTTCAAACTATTTAAAATATTAATTGTAATCCAAGTTATTTTTATCCACCGAAGTATAATTTTGTATTACTACATGGTGATTGAGATAAAAGTTGGGTAAAATTTAATTAAATAAAAATTAAATGTTAAAAAAAAACAATAATACAATACTTTAAAAAAAAATATTAATGCATTACGTTAATTTTTTTAATTTTCATTTTAACGAATCGCATAAATTTTACTGACCTGCCATTTTCGCCTGATAATGAACTTTTTCAATTTGTCAGTGCTGAGTATCACACATCTCATGTCCATGTCCTGTTGCGCTAACCATTTGTGTTTCAAACACTCTTTGGCGGTAAGTCTTTTTCTGTGGCACGTCAAAACAAAAACAAAATTGAAGTAGCTATTGTCGATAACGGATTATCCGCCAACAACACACACATACACACGGCGACTACTCACTCTTTTCTTTTGATCAACAGGGAACTTATAAAATCTTTAGCGTCTTGCGATATGGCGTCGAACGCCTCGTCGTCGAAATCAAACTCCGACTTGGTGATGTTGGTGAACGTCTCGGCGTCGTTGTCTCCCATGAAAGGCGACAAACCGGACAGGCTAAGGGCGGTGTAAACATAACGTATTATTATTTAGCCGGTCGAACTCGTCTATAGGTACTTACAGCACGTAGCAAATCACTCCGACGGACCACATGTCCGACTCCAGGCCGATCGGTTCGTAGCTGATGATCTCGGGCGGGATGAACTCCGGCGTGCCGAAAAGCACCCGGACGGGCTGCCCGGGTTGGATGATCTGCGCCAAACCGAAATCGATCAACTTTATCTGATGTGAAGTCCTCGACTGGCACATGATGTTTTCCGGCTGTAAAAAAAAACCCCCAAGACGTTCCTGATGTATTCCAATCTAATATATACAGATAATGTAATATCTCGGCAATTGTGCATCCGCAATACTACTACTACTACTACTATTCTACACACTTTCAGGTCCAGGTGTACGACGTTTTGCTTGTGCATATAGTCGACGCCCTCGCATATTTGTCTGGTGAACAGAATACAGTCTTTTTCGGTCAGCGTGAAGTCGTCGGCCACTACCCGTTCGAACAGCTCCCCGCCGGAAATACTACGGGACGGAACGGACGCGAATAATGTATATTAAGTAATAACACACGAAAAACATTGATGCCGGACTCACTATTCGGTGACCATAACGACTTCCCGGGCGTTTTCGAAAGCCGCCTCGAGCTGCAACAGTTTCGGATGCCTCAGGCAGTTCATGATGTCCACTTCTTCTTGCGCCTTTTCCTTGTCCTTGGCCTTGATGCACCTGACGAACTTGGCCGCAAAGTACTTGCTCGAGTCGCGCTCCTTCACCTTGTGCACCACACCGTACCGGCCTTTTCCCAGTTCGTCGAGCACCTCGTACTGGCTGGTGAACAGGTCGCCGCTTTCGATGGTCACTTTTTTCGGCACCAAGGTGTTACCGTAATCTGTATGGTAAACCGATAATTAAAAAAAAACATTTTAGCCGTTCAAAAAACTTTTCAAAAAAAATAATCGCATTTACAGCTGTCACGAGGAATTGAAATACATATTTAATGAATTTTCTAAATGTTTTTACATTGGTATAAATTATGTTCTACATATACATATTTGAATAATGTATTTTTATTTATTCTAAAAATCATAATACTTGCAGTCTGTTTGAATCTATTGGTTAAGGTATATAGAAAAAAAACATAATTTAAAAATCCTATCTGTAGTTATTTTAATTAAATATTCTAAAATGTTCTCTGATTAAGACCGATTACAAGATAATCACCCCAATGGCCAATAGGCATATTTTGCGATTTTATAACAAAAATTATTATTACAACATTATGTGTAATGTTACCTTCAACCCCGTCAGAGTTTGTCGTAGGAAATATATTTAAAATTGGTAATTTTTGTTACATATTTTTAAGTATTATTATAATTTTAAAATTATAACGCTTTAAAATTATCCTTAGAGCTAAAGTTAGTTAATATTATATTTGATGTGCCTGGTAGAATCGTAATCGGCTATCATGATCATAACGACAATATTAACTGTTTAGTTTCTTTTATTATTGATAAAAATTAATCACACCTTCTCCTCCCCTTTACAAATTCTGTTAGGTTTGGTGTACGTAAAATATCTCATAAAAATGTAATATTTTCTAATAATTGTTTAAATGTTTTTTTCAATATTGTAAATGTATTTTTTAATAATTACATTTCGGCAGTTAATCAAATATTAATAAAACGATTTTTAAGTAAAAATATATTTTCTAAACATTATAAAAAAATTGTAATATTTAGTAATTATTATTGAAACATATTGTTAATTAATATGACCTATATCCTGTTTCCATTTGGACATGCTTAAGTAAATCAATTACCGGTTTGAAGTATGTACACCGGTATGGACTCCAGACTGGCTTCGCTCGACCCGTGCATGTTCTCGGCTCTTACACGAAAAACGTACGACTCCCCGGGCGCCAGACCGCGGACAATATGAGATAAAGAATAACACCTGAATAAAAAAAAAATTACAATAATACAAAAAACAAAAAAAAATTGACTTTAATGGCGTTCACGTTATAACTATCTATTGGATACACACATTAAAGAAATAACCCGTTATAAACCGAGATACGTGGCTTCCTCGTGTCACTATTATAAGAACACTACTATGCCGGTCACCGTGATCTGTTAAAAATCCGGTGAAAGCGTCAAAAAAAAATAAACAATAATAATATAAATGCTTTCACTGTTAAATCCCTACCCATGCCCTCCCGAAAAAAATTTATTCGTGTTTTTTAACCGGCGCAATCAGCGAAAACCCGATAAGTGATTAATTGAATTTTTTTTTATGTTATAATATGAATGACTAACGCGTACTTGAAAAATAACCCGAGGGCATTCCGAGGAAAATTACAAATAATATTTTACTGTTATTAATTGTATTAATATCGAAATGTTAGTCACGGACAGTTTTAATTGCCACTTCGGGAAATAAGCAAATTACCTACTTCAGGCACACAATAGCTATAATTATAATAATTGATAGGTATTAATAAACCGGTACGCATATATTATTACTATAAACAGTATAAAGCATTCGGCCGATTACCACCCGAGTGCCGCTAATTCACTTGGACGCAGATCTAGGTCAATATGCCCAAAATATTTTACCCCATTTTAAAATAACCCCAACATTTCAGTAATGACCTCATGACATCTCGGTCGAACCTTAAAGCACGAGTGATATTGATAATACACGAAAAAAAGAGACTCTCTAAAAGTAACTATTATCCATTGTTGTTCTGCAAACAACCGAATTGTTTGCTATCACATTGCACCTTGTACAAACAATATAAGATATTTGAGACGAAGTCCGAGTGTGTCCCGGATACAACGGCATTATACATTATTGTTTGCAGTTCACACGCTACACAAACGCACGGATTCAATTATAATTACTTTTAAAGTGTATTTCATAGACAATGGCGTAGCAGTTGCCCTGGGAATAGACATTTTTCAAAGGAGCATCCGAACGATGCGAATATAATAGGTATAATTTATACATAGAGAACAATACAAACACCGGTCGATTATAGCGCTAATCAGTCTAATTTTGACTACAATACGCCAAAAAAAAACTGCTCTATCCAAAAAAAAAGTGCACGATATATCTAGTAAGTGCAAGAATATAGTCAACGTTTATTGGATACAACAAGAGGGCACGTTTTATGGATAAAGCGCTACTATTTCAACACCTAGATTGAAATAACCTTCCTGGTTTGGGGTGAACAACAACAATTGTCGTCGGGCAAAGATATTAACATGCGTTTCCATTTTTCAGGTCTACACTGACTCACCTGTCGGCCACTAGTTTCCACTCGGTCTGGTTGAACGGTCGGACTTCCACGCTGTAACCGGTCACCATGCAACCGCCATCGTAAGCCGGACTTGACCACGTTACGTCCGCGCTGGTTTCCGACACGGAGACCACGGGTCTGCCGGCCGGCGGGTCTGGCGGTCCTACGATAAGTGACATAAAAAAAAAATGGACGGTTATAACGATAAAAAATATAATATTATATTATGTGTACGCGCGCGAAAAAAAAAAATTGTATATATTCAATATTGTAAAATTAACGAAGCCTCGCCGCCAATCGGTTTAGCACTGCGCCACCGCCGTATAAGCAGTCAATCATAAAACAATAATTATGATGTTCCACGGTGTGCAACAGCTGATATCGTCAACGAAACGACAGTATACATCGAGTGTTATAATATGGGAGAGATAGAGAGAGCAAGTGGGAGAACAAGCATGATAATATTATACGCTATCATTGTGCGATGAAGGAACCGTCTCGGTTCGTCAAAAACTTAAAACCATATTATTCCACTGTTGGTAACTAACCGTGTTGTACGGTGTACGAACGCTTGCGACGAGTGTATAAGCTGAATAAATTATTATTATTTAGCCAGCGCGCGTGTAAACCAGTTGGCGATAATAAAAGAATAATAATTATTATTGTTATTACTGTTTTACTCGGCGAAAACAAGAGCGTGTGGCGAAAAACAATAATAATAATAACAGCAACAGCAGCGCTATTCAAGAGTGAAACGCAAATTTAACCGTCGAGTGGCTCGCCCCGTTAAACGACTGACAAATGAATATGAGATTGGTCGTTAATGTGGCAAGCTGTTGTTTTTTTCTCTTTCGACTTCTCGTCGTTAAGGCAAATAAGCAAGCCACTGCCGCCGTCACCGTACACGTGATCGCTTTATTTAGTCACATACGTTCGAATGGGATGGACTTAAAATAACAAGTCTGACAAATGTACAACGATAACCTTGCAGCCCATCATGTCCACTATTGTGATGACACCCATCATGTTGACCAGATGTAATGAAATAATAAGAGCTGTCAATCCAGCTCAAAATATGACCCATGGTGGATAGTCGTCCGTCAGCACTTAAACCACTTAATGGTTTTCTTTGCGTTTTAACCGAGAACGTTAATTGTTACTATTAATATTTAACGTTTATTAGATATTCAAATAAACATGACATAGCGCAATGGGGTTTATTTATTACAAATAACATTTTTTTTTAAAATTATTGTTTATTATTTCCTATAGATTATACCTAAACTGGTCCGCAAGTAGCGGTATCGTGTTAAACCATTCATATCTAAACGGTCATAGGGCATAGGCGTCATTGCACACATCTTAAGAAACCTAGACAAATTATTAGCTCGACTTACATCTGCGTATGCCCCCACTAGCTATATAATATGCTACATCAACAAATAATTTTTAATTTGATTGCGAATAAATTTGGCCGAATGAGCAAAGTAAAAGTTACTCAAATACAGTAATAAATAACGAACAAGTCTAATCGATTTTTGTAATGAGAATAAACTAACTAGTTACACTGATAATTGTGTAATCGACTAAAACCAATTACATACAAATTAACTTTTAACTAATATATATTAGTGCTTGGCCTAGCAAGTTGAGTCATAGAATAATAGTTGGGGAAGGAAGGGTATAAAACGCTACTCGTTAGACTTATTACATGTGTCTCCAATGTAAACGTAAACGCACAATCGTTGTGATCTATACAAAGTACCTACATTACAAAAAAAACACATATCTGTTGTTTTATTTATACAAATAATTAGCTTATACTAACACAAAACAACTACTTAATAAAAGCACGCCTCTTTATCGAAATCAAAAATCGTAGTTTAATTATACCGATTGATCCTTTTAGAGTTTTTCATGCTACTTATAAATGTGATTATAATAATTATTTACCTTCTACGGCCACCGAAGCGTAGTGATAATCGTTTCCCAGTTCGTTGTCGACGCGGACCACGTACTTGCCACAATCGTCGGCTGTGATCGATTCGATGGTCAAACTGGATATTCCGTCCAAGTTGGTTATGCGCAGGTGTTCGTCGGACTCCAGAACTTTACCCTGAAACAAAGTGAAGACATTTTAGGTGTACTTTACCGACGCCAATTTGTCTAGTATTTTGATTCAATTACCGCTCTGAGCCACTGTATTCGCGGTTCAGGAGTACCGGCGTACGACGTTTCCAAAATAATTTTTGCTCCACGCATCACGGTCGTGTCGCAAGGTCCCCACAGGATGGTAGCCGGCAGGGTGGTGGGCGTTTCTTGACTTTCACGGTGCAGTTTGTCTGTCAAACTCAGATTGTTGTTGAATTCTTTAGTTATCTGTTGGTCATCGGCGGTATCCGACACGACTTCTACGACACACAATATTAAACTACTTATTCTAAGTTCATGTCTGAGTAAAGTGAATTTACCAACTAAATCTATTACAACGTTAATGCATTTGTATCTTGTATGCACAAGCTTACCTTGTACTAAAAGTTCTCCATAGGAAACTGCCTCGCCAAATGTGTTCAAAACCTTGCAGCTATACGTGCCGCTGTCTGCGCTGAAGGGATCCGCTATGGACAAACTGAACACGCCGTCATCGCCTGTGACATAAGTGAAGTCTTCGCAATCAGGAATGGGCAAGTCGTCTTTGAACCATGCTATACTCATAGGAACTGCACCTATTTACAAGTAAATTTGATTGTCGATTAATTTGTAATCGGTTTTTAAACAAAAAAACATAAGTGAACCGATTTTCGCTCTAAAACTATGAACTATTTAATGAGTAAAAACCTATTTGATAAGGTCTACTACGGAAAATAAGGACCGTCAAAAGATCACACACATTCTCATAACCGAGAAAATTCAAAAATGGATTTACGGATTCAAATCGAAACCTTTCTCAGAACGGTTTCACCGCTTTCAGGCGAAATACGTTTTAGAAAAAATAAATAGACACTTTGACATCAATGACCTTAACTGTCGCCTAAATAAAAATATTGATCACTTCATATTACCCGTAAAGCATACATATCACTTTTTTATACCTTGAAGTTTTACGGGCAACTCGAATCTTTCGCCTTCTCGAACGACCAGTTTAGGAACAAGACCTTCGACAAATATCGGTGGTTGTAAGTAAGAGTCTTTGGCGGTGTTCGCGTCGAACACGGACAGTTCCGTGGAACATCTGGTCACTCCGGACTCGGATCTCGCTATGCAAGTGTACACACCGGAATCGCCGGGCTCCAGGTTGGAAATCGAAAGTCTGGCGGCCAATTCGTCCCTGCTGGCCGTCACCCGTTCGTCGGGTTTTATCTCTTCGTTGTTTCTAAAAAAAAAAAAAAAAAATGCGTAAAAGTTGTAACTTATTATCTCCAACATCAGACAGTCGGTGCACGTACTTGTACCAGGTAACATCCGACATGGAGTTACCCCTAATGTCACAACTCAAAGTGAAATTGTCTCCGGAGCAAGCCGTGGACCCCGACTGTTTCCTCGATCCGTTTGGCCGAGGCGATGATTTCGCGGTAATCTGAACGTCTTCCTGCACGTTGTGACTCGCTAAACACAATGACAAGTTTTCTTCGATTAATTTCATTTTTGTTATTTCGAATTAATTACTCGGCAACCACAAACGCCGAGACCTCGAGTGCCGGATTAGGGTCATATCTCAGTGGGCAATTATAGGCCGCACAGCGACTCACGCTGTGATAATCGTCGTTTGCGCTTTGTGTGCGTGTGTGTGTGTGTTAAATTGTAAAAAAAAAATAATATAATAATAAAAAAGTTGTCCGCGTTGGAACTCACGTAGCACTTGGAGTTTTGCAGTCGCCTGTATCTTGCCGTATTTGTTTTCCACAGTAACCCTGTAAAGTCCTGCGTCTTCAGCGACGATGTCGAATATTTCCAAGGACCTATAGTCTTCGTCCTCGCGGATTTTCATCCTGCTGTTCACACCGATCGGTTGCCCGTCCTTTTCCCACGACGACCAAGGCGGTGGATAGCCGGACACGCTGCATTGAAACCGGACCGTGTCCCCGACATCCACTATCTTGTCGTGGAGCACGGCGTAGAATTTTGGCGCGCTGCTCCTTTTCAATCTTTTGGTGCCCCTGTCGTTGCACTCGCCTGAAACGGTCACGATAAGCTTTTAAGTACCTATATTCGAGTTTTGAATTTAATTATCTAAGTGAGAAGCCTGAGCCATTTATTTGTTAAGGATTAAAACTATTTGATCTGGAAATCAAACATTGTCGATTGAATAAATTGCATATTTTTTACTGTATTATCGCTCTACTAATAGCAATGAAAACACATTATTTTTTTTATGTTTGCTTTACCTGCAAGTACTGGCGAGCTGATCATGGTTTCTCCCTGTCCGTTCACCGCTTTCGACTGTGTCTCATCAGAACCTAAAATCCGAAACGCAACAAGTAGTACATTTTTGTCTTTTACTATATTATATTTTCCGTTTTACCCGCCAGTGTCAGTCGCGCGGACGTCGAGTCTTGTCCCAGTTCGTTGAACGCGGTGCACGTGTAAACGCCTTGGTGCAAAGGGCCGACTTTGGTTATTTCCAGACGAGCCGTATCGTTATTGACCAGCTCGGACCTGAACTCTTTACCCAATCTGACCAGCTAAACAGAAACGCGCAGGGTTATCTCAGAAACACCGTGTACCGGCGGCGGCTGTTAGCCGATGCGTACTTTGCCGTCTTTGTGCCATCTAACATCCGCTTCCGGTGTGATGTTCAATTTGCATTCGAACGACACGCTGTCGTTTTCCGAGCAAACCACATCCGCCAATCCCCGGCTTATTCTCGGTAACCTTTCCACAGTTCTAAACCAAAACGGAAAGTTGATTTACAAAATTGTCGCTTACCGGGCGCGCGCGTGTGAATTCGTCTTACGTGCGGTCGATGCCATTTTCCATAGTTTTCTTGCCGTGCCCTAAAACAATATTGTTAAAAAAACCCGTGTGAATCGTTGACCGACAACTATAACATCATCAACATTGTCAATTGATATTATTTTATATATGGACGGACCGGCACGCGGGTATAGGTATACAAGGAATGAACGTCGACCGTCATGCGCTGTCCGTTTTTATAATATATTTTTTTTCTTTTTTATAATAATGTATTCTTATCACACGGTCAGCTACGCAAAACGCGACAGCGTGTGCTTACTACTATATAGGTACGCGGTTCTCCGAGATTGTTTTACTAATCAGCAGACGTATATAATGATATTATATTGTAAGGTCACGGTAAATTATTATTATTTTAATACAAATAATTGTTTTACAATAAAAAATTGCATTTACACCTCCCCGTAAAAGATAAATACCATACACTTTAACTCCAGCTCTATCTCCGTCTTACCCTTCGACCACAGTGAGGCAACATTACACAAGAGAACGCCTCACGTGCAATTTTACCGCTTACGTATCCGAGTTGGCCTTACGTGTACAGCGCTCTCCTTAGTAGTAATTATATAAATATTATAGTGACGATACCAGAGGAAACACCGTCACTATGTTCCTGTAAGATGTTGTTTTCTAATAATATGATTGTTTGTTGTAACTTAATGATGTGGTAAAAATGAACTATTAAAAATATGATTTATAGTGCACAAATGTGTTAAGTGCGTTTATTTAAATTTTACAGAAAAAAAAAATTGCGAAAATGTTTAATGTCATCACATTAAATTAATTAAATTAACCAATTCCATGATATCTATAATACCAAAAGTATGATTCTCTGTCTCCTAATATTTGTATATGAAGTGTAGGAGGTTATAAGTTACCTATTGCTATACAATGTACATAACTCAATTTTCCCAAATTATGCCCATCTGACATCACTTTTGTGCACTAGGCCATCGATTAAAAAACACTAGACCACCTATTTATTTAGGAGTAAAGTATAGGCAACTATTTTATAAACTTAACTCATGCAGCCAAAATGCTGTATGAGCTTAAAATTAGAATATCAGGTGATGTTATTTGCGTAATGGACAATAATATAAGTTAGTTTTTAAAAACAAAATTCTGTTTTTATATGTATGACTGGATCAAAATTATTTATTCGGGTAATGGTTTTTGTGTATATTGAAAGTATATGAATGTTTAAAATCGCAATAATAATATTGTAAAAAAAAAAGAGGTTATTGATTTAAGCAGTTGATCTTTTCGTCGGAATTATAAAAACCAATTATAAATTATTATTTACGCAAAAAAAAAAAAAGACGGGCTGGAAAATTGGCCTTACCCAATCATTTCAGACTACACATATAATTATTTTTCTTTTAAATTTATTTTTTACTCACCCGTCGAGAACACTTGAACCGATATCAGCGTTTTGATCTGTCCATGCGGATTGGAGGCCAGCAGCGTGTACGTTCCCGTGTGGCTGAGCTTGACGTGAGGTATTTTCAACTGGTATCGGCTTCCGGCGGAAACGCACAGAAACTCCGAGCCGTCTCGATAGTATTCGGGCTGCACGGCAAAACCAAAACAAAAACAAAAACCTCTTATCAGCTAGCTGGCGATTACCACTTGGGAGAGTGGGAAAACAACAATGACAACGTCTCCGTCTCGGACGAAGGTCTGACCGGCGACGTCGGCTGTTCGGACGTGACTGCGGCAAGAACTAATAAGTATGCAACGACAACGTGCTCGGGCCAGCACCTGGTCGGCGACTGATCCCTGTTTGGCCTAACCGGTGACTTTGATATTGCTTAAGTATACACGGGCACGACGTCATCGAACCGGTAATATCTAGTTGTCAAAACGCCGTCCGATCGAGACGTATTAGCGAGGCATGTGTAATTTTTAAAGAATACATAATATAAAAAAATAACATAATGGTCTGTCCCGAGAATTAAACAATCGTTAACGCACACGATGATTACAACAGCTACTATTATTATACATAATAATATTATATTATATGCTTACACTATCGTGGGAGATGGCGGACAGTACAATAATACACGTTGACGCAATCATTAAGGTATTATAAGTTAAGCCTTTGATATCCTCTTGGACTTAGGAGAGTCTTAGTACCGTCCGAGTCGCTTGCACTCGTTACGGAAATCGCGTGGGCCCCGCGTTTTCCCATTGACCGGCAAAGGACGTCTTGTCCGCCGATAAGGACATAATGATATAATAATGGCATGGCGCTATCATATAACATTGTAAATATACCATATTGTTTATTCATATTATTGTTTGATACACATAGTAATATTATAGTTCATTAGTGTCAACGATGTGTAAAGGATTTTGCGCAAACCTCTTAAGACAGACACGGCAAACGCGCAAAGGAGATAATAACGCTATTATGTTTTCCTACAGCCTACTCGTTTAATTGAGTGCGGTTTTGTGGTTGTGGCGGTTTTTTCGTTTTCTTACTATAAATATTGTACCTATTACTCTCTGTGTATATAAATATATATAGGATTTTTAAAGAAACACGATCCTCTAAGTAAAAAAACGGCAACGGCGCGACCGCGGCGATAACGACACTACTGGAAATAATAATATAAGTCCAAACGAGTCGGCTCGAGTAAATCGATTAAAAAAGAAAGAAAGAAAAAATCCAGCGGAAAACGCAAAGAATCCGATTATAAAACGTACATTTATAAGCATGTGGACTGGCCGACCACATTCTGAACGTCGGTCGAACACAATCACTTAGACTAGTTATATTAATTGATGAAATATAATTAATAACAAAACGGCGAACAAAAAAAAACGCGCCATCAGCTATTAGAAACTTAAGTCTGTGTTTGTAATACTATTACGTGTAGGTATACCAATAGTATTTCGCGAACAATATTCGGCCAACGTTGTTCTGAGCACCACTTACGGTTTGCCCGGCGCTGATATTTTGTTCTTTATATGGAGTGAAAGCCACCTCATCCAAGGCAGACATATTATTATCAACGGTACACGCGGTTTGTGTATATACGGCGCGGAGAAACGATATTTTATGTACACATGGTTTTTTTTTTTGTTCTTATTCTTTTTAAGTTGTTGTTGTTTTTTTTTTTTGCTTTCTTCGGTACTTACGATATTAATATTAATAATCATAATAATAACGATATCGAATGCGCCAAGATCGGCCATTGCCAAACGAACAAGGACTCCGAGGATCGCGGGGGGAGCTCTCTATCGTCAGGAGACGGCCTGGACTCGATCCCGTATTAATTCACACGATGATATAATATCAATATCAATAGTAATAATACACAGGCACACGCTGTATAATAAATGCGGAATCGCCGGTATAGGTACGAACGGCCGGCCACCCGCAAGGACTTTTGTACGTGACTGGTGACATCATTCGGTTTTGTCTCTTTTTTCTCCTCTCTTCCAAACCATTAAAGTCGTGTCGCTATATTATTATTGTATTATATACCTATACATACATACGGTGAATCACACACATACACGCCGTGTTAATGATCCATCAACGGTTATTAAACGATGCCAGTCGATACTGCGGCGGCATACAAACAACCGTTTGAACATCTCGAACGCATTGCATCCATAATATTGTTATTAGGTATAGGTGTCGATAGTAATTATTATTGTTGTTAAGTGTTACTGACCCTAAGCGGTGGATAGGATAGCCGGTGGCTAGGTAGCACAATGCAAATTGGCCAAATTAAGCGTGTGCACTTACATTATCGACACTGGGGTCAATTTTATTAAAACATTTTTACTGTGTCCAGAAATCAAACGATTATTTAAATTATTATTATTAAGCACAAGCCGCTTTTGTTGCCCGCACGTATTATGCTTTACAGTAAAAAAAAAAAAAAAAGTACAATTATTGTTTACAAAAATACGCTATCGGCGTTCGAGTAAACTCATTCATAACGTCGCGGTACTATCTGAAGCGGAACAAGTCTACTAGCCGTGTTGAGAATACATGTATATATATATATATATATATATATGTATCTATTATGTTATGTTATTTCACCATTGAGATCAACTCGCGAAATGTCCAAAAAAAAAAAAAAACAAGAAACATGCTTCCGACATAAACTCAATTGTTATTCTAATAGGTCGGTTTTACAATAATATATTATTTACACAATAAAGACCGCGATACTCGTGTATTACGTCTGTCCCAGTGACCGAATAACGCTTTCGAAATACGCCGATACTTACACACACACACACACTATCGAATAGAAATCTCATTAAGTTTGGCAGACTTCCAAGTGCAACACGATTCCGTTTGATACACGGTAATCGACGGTTGGATTTGAAATGTTTATTTTTTTTTCTGCGACGGTTTCTCCTTATGCGGACATAATGGCAATAAAGATCAGGCGTGATATAATGAATCATCACGGACTCGGTCCAGAACACCCCCTGTGCGGGCACACCCGTTGAAATTCAACAAGTATAGTTCGTATTAATATAAATACACGTGTTGAATTAATCGCAGTGTCCAATAGAAACCTAGTTTATAGTTTGTTATAACTAATAAAATGCGTCGAGTTCCGCTGAATTGAAAGCTTAGCTTGACGTCAATCAAATGAAGCACATTGGACAACACCGACCATTCTGTCATAAAGATTGTTTTTTCTGTGTACATCAAACTACATTTTTTTTTTTTTTTTGATAATGATGTGTTTATCGATACAGTTTATATTATGAGCTTAATATGGAACATTCATCCACAACATAAGAATTATAGGTATAAGGGTCAGATGTAGTAGGTAGTTGTAAACAAACGGAGCGAACGTAAATTTATTTTTGTAGACGTAAGACATATTGCAAGTTTTCTATTTAGGAGTAGGTACGTGTTACTATACAATTATTAGCGAATGGTAATTTTGATTTCCCCGGGTACCTACGCATAACGATTATAATTATTAGAGTCTAATCACAGGTTTATTGTGAAAACGCAATCTCGACTTGGGAGATTGGTAATGTGTGGACGCAGCTCTACGACTGTGTCAGACACGGGATACTGATAAACTGCGCCGGTTCTAGAATAATAACCATGTTATTATGTTTTATTGCACAAGGGACTCATATAAGCCGTCGAGATAACGTCTGGAACGTTTGAGGCAGGTGAAAAAAAAAACAACAACTAGACGTGCTAATGCAGATTGTCACATGTCAAACGCGGCTGATAAATCAATCGGACAAAGTAATGAACTCGATCACTTGTGTATCAAACGTCATCATTGCTGGGCGCGTTCCCAGTAGACAAAGGTATATTAGTACTAGCCGGTGTCCTACGCGGATCTACAAACAAAAAATAGTAGAAGGGAGGAGGGGTTATCTGAGCTAGGCTAGATGGATCTCTAAACCGATGCTCCTCACTCTTATGTTGTTATTACGTTCTAATATTAAACGCAATGTATAATTTGACCACATTGATGGTGGTTATATGAAACTTAGGGCAAGCATAGAAGAGAATGAAAACTCTTAACTTACTCCTTGAACCCGCGCCTGGTTGATGTATTTTCTAAGCCGGTGACTAATAATCCGCAGAGTTCTTAGACCCTAATATGAACGAGGGCTTGGCGTTATTAAGACAAGTAGGCCTCGCGCTTGTACAAAGCATGACATAGAAAACTAATTGGCGGTAAATTCGGTCAATTTTGTGGCGCAGAAGAAAAGGCGTCAAACTTGGACCTAAACGCATTACGTTTAATTCCCACGCGTAGTACTTAATTGTTCACGCCCAATGTCCACGTTTCATTTGATAACTTTTTTTTGTTATTGCTATTGTGAGTTGACAAAAGTTGCATTGGTGGCTATGATGTGCAAAAAAGGTGACCGCAGTGATTAAAAATTGAAATTATTAATTAAAACAAGCAAAGATGTTCACGGTTACCTTCAAATAGTACACAGCATTGTACTTAAAATCCGTATAGAGCTTAGCTTTTTTATTTTTAAACACTTTTTGGCTTTTAGGTATCCGTCCAAACAAGTGTGTGTGTATCCCACGGTGTTCAAACGGCTCTCTAGAAATCGACGTCATTGTGCAGAATTACTTTTTTTCTAGAACGTTTAGAGGAGTTAAACCCGTACCGCGGTCATGACTGCAGTATACAATATATAGATCGACCGAGATGGTACGGTTTTTTTTAATGCGTCAAAGAAGCGGAAGAACGAGAAACTAATGGAGAATAAAATGCAGGTTAATGCGGCGGTATTGATGGTTAATCGAGATTTCGATTTATGACGTCTGCCACCGGTTGTTGAGAGAATTTTTAGTCAAACCGCACTTCATAATAATAACAGATACAGAGTGTACCTTATACGACGGGTACTACAGGTCGGATTGTGTATAATAATAATATGTATGTAGCTGTCGAACAGGCAATGAAATCGGCCTTGCAAGGACGAGCCCGGTCGGTCGGTGTGACTCATGGAAGAGCTACTTTTTTTTCTCAATATATTAAATTCGTTGCTTACAAGACCAATAATAATATTAATGACTTTTATACGTGTACGCG